CGTTTTTTCCCGCACAGAATAGAGCCACCGTGCGGTGGCTGACATTTTTGTTTTTACACTCGACTTTATTTGACAAAAACCAGTATTAAACTCCCGGCCAAAGGAGATTCATGAAAATTCATAGTACTTTGCGCGAAACGCTATTATTCTCCGTAGGGAAGCCGTGTATCGCGCAGGATTACACGACGGTCGAATAATTTAAGTTACGGAAAATGGAATATATCACCACGTAATAAAGATTTGTGCATTAGTATTTTCCTGCCGCAACTTCAAAAGATGAATTTTTATCGCACATAAAAATATAGTAGCTAGCGAACAAAATAAGTATTACATTTTTCTGCGTACAATTGGTACATCAGTATCAATGTCGATACTAGAATATTCGTTGAGTATAGTACGCTCCGATCATATTATATGTATAAATATGTGCATTAGTGAAAAGATAGAGAAATTCAAATGACGATTGCTTGACAAAATCGAAAGAAATATTAATTTGATATTGCGGCTGTTAACGCGAAAGAAACACAGTACATCTCAGTTTTCGCAAATTTCCGCATTACTTTTCTTCGACCGCGTTTCTTTCCCGATTAAAGTAACGAAAGTTCCGAGAAACTTCGGCGGATTTTAATCGAATTACGAGCGCGAAAATATTAAGAATTGATTATGAAAAAGAACAAGAGATTTGCATCGCTCGTGTTGCGAATCCGATGAGGTGCCTTTTTACATCGCGCTGAGACTGAGAAATTAATATAACAAAGGGTCGGAGGCGTTAAAAGGACCGCATGTCGAGAACAATTTTGCGGCATTCCCTCTATTGGACGGCAGTCGCCTCGCGCGCGACGCCGAAACTTGGCTGAAAGTTGCGCTGAAAACTGTGCGGAAATTACCGGGCACAGTCGACGTTAACTCGAAAGGAGTAACTTAATTACGCTCGAGCACGAATCGCCGTTGCAAACTTTTCGTTTGTGCTAGTGCGTGTATACGCGTGTATGCCGATGGTGAAGACCGAGAGAACACCCGGGGCAACGGAAATACTTGTACGGAGTTTCACGGGCAAAAATTTATATCAGCTTGCCATTATGGAGATAATGAGTTCTGACAGGCCTCTAATTCGCCAGCTTTCTCGCATTTGAGCGTAGGATTATTATTTTTACGCCACGAAAACCAATCTTTTCCGACTCGTTACCCGTCAAAGATGATGATAGTGTTACGCGAGCTGTCGTTCCGTCAAATTTTTATTGATAGTTTTACGCGTGATGCGCTCCAAAGAAATTTAATCTACGACGAAAATCAACTTTTCGAGAAAAATGCCTTTAAATACGTGTTGACGGCATTGTTTCGCACACACTGAATGTGTTATATGCTGTGCAACGGCTTTTTATCAATAGATAATTTGTAGATATCGGATTGATCGAAACTTAAAAATCGAAATAGTTTGAGTTTTTTTCAGAGAATGGGTGACAAATGCAAATTTCCGACGTTGACGAATTAACATTTTAATTCATCACTCAACGGAAAAATCCCACAGAAGCAAGCTCATGTGTTTGATGAGGAGATTCTCGCGGTCGCATGTTTTAATCGAAAATTAATCTGCACTGCGCGCAATACTCGAAACTTGGCGAAGGACACGATTCCATTATCGCGACGAGCTGCTTTCGGGTCATCTCGCTCGTACAGAGTGTACCAGACCAATCATTAATAGCTATTAATCACTCGTTAATAGCAGATTCATGAGATTCATTTGGACACGAAAATCTTTATATTAAAAGATTAATAATTTTTAAGTGAGAATTTAAAATTGACTGACCAGATTGTTAAAAATTTACGCGCTTAGATTCACGTCGCATATTGATTTTTCTATACTTACCGTATGAGAAATCTCAGAAATCTGTTATTAACGAATGAGACATCTTGTTATACATCATTTTACATGATTAAAATAAAACAGATTGACTTACCGGCGTAACGATATCAAGTTATCCTGTATACGTGTATGTATACGACGTTCGCGAGATACGCTCGTTTCGATGATGAATTGAAAGCGATCGAGTGGCGATCATAAATTGATGCGGTTGTGAAAATAATTGTGAAATTAATCGATTTCGCTCGGTCGATGGAAATATCATCGAGAGTTTGATAATTTTTTTATCTTTTTTTTTCGTCGGCTCATTCGCACGTTCCGCTTGTCGGAATTAACAGGCGTGGGAACTCCTCCTTTCTCTCTTGAAAACATCTTTTCACCTTTTCCCGTTCGTTACCGTTTGCCCTGTAAATACGGCGTTTTCTGAAAAGCGTTTGCTGAAAAGCATTGGCCAGATTTAATAAGCTTTTGCGTGTTCTTCGTTAGGATTTTAACGAAGCTTTTATCCGGCACGATGAAAGCCGCCCCGGACATCTCCTGACATGAGGCAGGCGAACTCGTGATGTTTTTTTATTACGAATCGTAATGCCTTGGTGTTATTTGTGTTAGCACGTACCGGAGAAATGAAGATTCCATTGCCCGCGTTCTCTTCAATCATTACGGTCCTTGTAACGATTATGGTATATCGGTGGCTGTCTTTGTGGATTAACTTTTAACTAATTAACGTTGTTGAGAAAGTCGTGTGTTTGCCGTAACGGAGACCACTTTGCATTGAACTTTGCTGGGGAAAAGATTTAAATAAATTATTCTTAAAAATTACAGAAAATACCATGCCCGTTGGAATTAGTTTGCTTGTTTGCAATGGGACTGCATAAGCATTAAAGAAGAGCTCTTGTATAGAAGAACGTTTCTGCGTTCATAGAAATTCCAGACAAGACGCCATTTAGACGACGGCTCTCTTAACTAGCTTGTTAAGTTCGTATTAAGCTGTATGAGGCAGCATTATTATCGTCGTAGGTGTATTTCTCTTGGGTAACAGCCCAAAGTCGGTAGAGGAACAAGTTATTCTTTATGCACAGTAATTGAAATATAATATAAAAACATCTGCTTTTTTTTTGTAAATAACTACATATATAATATTGTATTTAAAAAATTGATAGAAATTGAGAATTTTTCATTGATCGACCGACAACCGACAGCCAAGTTCCGGGAATAAGATGTTCGCGGGATAATCGATCGAGGGAACATCTTGCCCGCGGCCACGGGGGGCCAGATAGCTCGTCGCCTTGATGAAATCCCCGAGAGCTCTTTTCATGCTAATAAGATTTCGTCGGTCGCGCCCAATGGATACGCGCCAAAGCGCGAGGGAAAGGGCTGCTGTCGTCGCGTTCGGCGCGGTAGAGACACTAAGAGAAAGAGAAAATGTACAAAGGGAAAACGGTGGCGTCTCGGTACAGCCGAACGTAGCACCCTCCGAGCACGGTGCTTTGGAGCTCGGGCCGCTCTAATTCGATATTTCGGGCGCGATGTGCGACGCTGCCGGTGAGAAAAGTAACGAGTTTCGCCGTGGATGGATTGAGGACCATATGGTCTGTTCGGCGCTTGAATTAAATTCTAATTCCTGGTTCAGTCCGGCACGAAGAGTAGAAAGTCATTTGAATGAACAAAATTTTTAAATAAAAAACGCGGTCTCGCGCGCGCGCGCGCGAAGACACTGTTGAATCAAATATACGAATTTTTATATTTGCAAAAAAATTCTTTCTCTCACTCGTCTTGGGTAAATTCGATGAATTGTATTGTCTATCCACATGATCGATCCAAAGGTATTGTCCGTCGAGGAAAGTTGAGAAACGAGAAAAATGATAAACGAGAACTGTGGGAACGACTCCCCGCGATATTGCGAGAAGCTCGACGCATTCTTACCCGATATAAAATGACAAATTAAATAGCAATTGTAAATGCGCGCGGCTACCAGATTATAAGTTTATAAGTTTCTCGACGTTCACTATAATGCTATTAATTCTGGACGCTACAAAGTATTTTACATTAATGAATAAAGGATCGACTTTGCTCAGATAGCGATAACAAGATCGAATTATATTACAATACAAATGAAAATTTCAAGAATTCTGTCGACTGTAATGTACTTTTGCCCCGCGCGTTTATCATTTTCCTCCAATTTTCAAATATCACCCGTTGCCCGTTATATTGTCTGTATTATTTATTATTGAAATAATTCTCTCTATGAATTAATTTAAGGATTGAAGGAATGTAAATTTTTAAATTTTTTAGGTGTAGTAAAGATACTCATAATCAGATAAGATAAAGATAAAATACAAATAATCAGATTTGCGTGATATCTTGAAACAGAAAAGCGTATCTGGAATTCTGTTTGATATTTTACACTGAGATCAGATGTTAGTCTATACTCTTACCTTTCGTTCGCGAGATTTTCTCGACAGTCGACAGATTATAGGAATATCACTGTAGCTTCTCTTTCCGCTGCGAAAGAAGAGCATTTTATCGTCGTTATTGAACAAACAACGGTATGTATTTAATGCGCGCTGCTTTCACGAAAGCGTGACTATGTAGCGCGTATGCGTGGAGTGTACTTAGTACAAACTCTCTACATGTAAGAACTGTTTATCCATTGAAACCCCAGTGTGACGTACCGATTCGTACATTGAACATTCATACTGCACGTAATTCGTCTTCATTAGTCAATATATCTATCCATCAATTTACATGCGCAATTTACATAGTCATATGAAATATTTGAATATTTTGCCATTTATAATTGGTACACGCGCGTCACGCATTAATATATTAACATCAGAAATTAATGGTAAATAATCTATATATTACAATACATTATACACATAATATAAATAAATATTAATAAATTATTAATATAATTTATATAATTAAATTTTGAGTGCAGTTTTTATTTTGAGTTTTTGTTAATTTTATGTTTAATTTTATATCATTCATTATGTTGCCTGACCGAAAAATTTGCGAAAAAGAGCGAAGATTATTGTCCTGAATCGGACGAACGTTACGTTAATCTCACGTTCGTCCCGAATTCCCCTCGAATCACCGCGCACGTATTCTCACATGTCGTGGATTTCTGCTGTTACAGACGGAGCTGTCGCAGAATCTGCAGCAGCTGTCAGAGAGGGCCCGCTCGACGACGGAGTTCATTCAAAGGCTCAAAGGGATGACGGATAAAGTGCACGTGAGTATACGCTCCTTTGGCATTCGTTTTAAAATCCGTGTCGACGGACACGTTATGCGGAGCGGCGCCGTGAAATTGCGAAAAGATATGGCGTTAATTACATCAGCCCTCTGTGGGGCGGAACGACGGATTCATCTCTGATAACCGAAAGGATGATGCGGACGTACAAAGAACATTCGGACGGCTTATAACCGATGAACAAAGATCCATAAGCGAGCACATTTCTTTTCTGTTTGTTTATCGGATCTACTAACATGTGTACTAATCAACTTGATATCGTGTTTCTCTCGCATAATACTATCTTGTGTGAGTCATATTTTCTACACCGGGAGAGAAAAAAATTACAGTATGTGCTAATTCAAGACCATGCCATGATCATTATAATTATAATTGTATAGTAAAACGTGCTGTTTTATTCATTTTGGGCGTGGTGACCTCTTAATTTTCCTCAAAGCTCTTCAAAATTGACATGAAACTTTAGATTTCAGATGCTGAGCAAAGGTCACCACGCTCAGACATGAGTACAAGGAGCGAGCGTAAGAATATTATATTCAGACTGATTTGTTTTGCTTTATTTACAGGAGGAATGCGTGACGCTTGAAGAAGAGGTTGAAGATCGCGTGGCGAATCTTGTGAGCCTCTTACAGGCGAGAAAATCGCGACTGATCGAGGCCGCTCGACAAACCAGAGAGGCCAGGGTGCGCTCATTGCGAGATCAAGTGGCGAGGTGCGCCACGCACCTGCAGACCACCACAGCACTACTCACGTTCTGCATCGAGGCGTTAAAAGAAACCGATAGCGCGGCCTTCCTGCAAATCGGTGGCATGTTGTCAGTTCGAGCGGCGACCGCCGCAGGCTCTTGGGGCGGCGCCGAGGGTGTTCAGGAGATTGCCCGTCTGCCGTTGCTGGATCTCACCCTGGACGACAAGCCGCTGCGCCGTGCTATCGATCAGCTCACCTTCGTCCAGCTTCGTATAATGTATGCTAT